TTTTGGATTATTTGCTCCAGCTCGTTGAAGAATACCGGTGGAATTTTGATTGGAATGGCATTAAAAGTATAGATTGCTTTAGGCAGTCTAGACATTTTAACAATGTTTATTCTTCCGATCCAAGAGCATGGAATGGTCTTCCATCTTTTTGTGTCTTCTTCAATTTCTTTCATGAGTGGAGCATAAAAATAGCATGGAGGGCATGGGGAGTTAGGAGAAGGGAGTTGGGGGAAATTGGAAGGGGAGGTGAACAATGAGAGACTATGGACTCTGAAAAACAATCTGAAGGGTTTGAAGAGGTGGGGGGGTGGGAGGTTGGGGGAACCAGGTGGTGGGTATTAGAGAGGGCACAGATTGCATGGAGCACTGGGTGTGGTACAAAAACAATGAATACTGTTATGCTGAAAATAAATTTAAAAAATGATAAAAATAGGAAAGAAGAAAATTTCAAAAAAATGGAAAAAGAAAAAAATTTTTTTAATTTACTTCGAAAGACTAAATAATCATGGGGGAAAAAACCCATGAATTCTATGTGCTGTATTTCCCTAGCGCTAGAGTTTTGCAGTTCTCAGTGATCACTGAACTTGGTATTGGCTCAATATTCTTGCTGATCTTCTCGGGGACAGGCCTGTTGCAGTGATTTTCAAATGTCTTAGCCCGATGCAGAATTGCACCACCCTTGCTAGGGGCCAGGCTAAGTAATCTGGTTGCATCTGCTCTCAGTACCTTTTGTTCCATAAAAGCTTTCTGTGTAGCTTTAGAATATGAGAATGAAAATGGTGGCCTCTCACTCTCTGACCCCAGAGGAGCCAAGAGCTCAGGGTCCCACTCCTCAGTGTGCCCTCAGAGAAAAGAAGTCAATCAGTCCTGTCTCCCTGGTCTCCAGCCGCACTCTGTGCTCGCCTGGCTTGTGACCAATCATTTCTATCTCTGGCACATGACCCCGTTTGGAATTTCCAAACTCAGCAGATTCCTGCAGAGTGCTCCTGTGCCACTCCTCCTGGTGGAGGAAGGGGAGGTCCTCCCTGGATCTGCCTTTTGTCCCTGCTCAAAGGGACAAAAGCCCAACTGTGCTGCTAATTACTGTTTATGGCAACCCTGAGGTTGCCATACTCCAAAGGTTTGGCTCTGTCTTTGCAGCCACCTCCCTGGTTTCAATACTTGGGAGCTCTGCCACACTCAGGCACCTTTAGTCTTTTTTTGACCCTGAGCGTCCTGAGACCACACTGTCCCAACAAAGCTTCCATCCCCTGCTTAGCCACTGGAAGAACATCCCTCAGTGGAATAGACTTCTAAACGTTCTGATTTTGTGCTCCACTGCTCTATGACTTGCCAGTGGTCAAATAATGGAGGCTCCCTCCCCCCCTGCAGTCTTTGTTCCCAAATATCACCTCAGATTCACTTCTCTGCACATCCTACCATCCAGAAAGTATTTGCTTTTCTGTTCATAGAATTACTACTATTCTTTTCTTCTATCTCCTGTTGAGTTTATAGGTGTTCAGAATGGTTTGACAACTATCTAGCTGAATTCCTGGGACCAGACGTAATTTAGGTCTCCTACTCCTCTGCCATCCTGCTCTGCCCTCAGAAGAGAGAATCTTAAGCAGGCTCCATGCTGAGTAGGGTTAGATGCAGGACTCAATCTGATGACCCTGAGATCATGAACCTGCTCCAAATCAAGAGTTAGATGCTTAACCACCTGAGCCATCCAGTTACCCCAGCATCCATCCTTCTGTATGTATCTTTTTCTCCCCACTTCCATCCTAAATAGTTTGTCCACCCATGGATTGATCTGGAATGATTTTTTTCTCTCTTTTCTCCCCTCATTTATTGTATCAGCCAGTCTTTAGGCAGATACCTTCAATAGGAGATCACAATTCTTATATTTTTGAGGAATACAGTAGAAATAAACCTTATTCAAAAATCCTTAATAGTAGAGAATAGATCTTTTTTTCCCACTCAGTAACCTTGGTTTTGCCTCTTTTGTTTACGCCTCTGTTCATGACTTAACATAAACTCAGACATACCTCAAATTTATAAATTATACTTGCAGACCAAGGTACTAAGAAGCAATTTCATATCCAGAGTTTGGTGTTGACCTAAATGACTAAATGATACATTATTTGTTTTTAATTCCATTTGATTCCTGCATAAACCTAATGAGATATGACATATGACCATGGAATACCTTGATTTTATCAGTCGATAGCCCCAGTAGCAGCTTTTATGGCACAAATGGAAATTTTACAACAAATCAAAAATTTCTGGTCTGCAAAGGGAGTGGAAAGTGGGAATGCTCCTAGTGAGAAGAACTGTGAGCAGTACACATGGTTATACATTTTGTTTGGAGGAGAATGAGCTGAGGGGATGGTGTTTATGGGCTGTTGGCAAATGGTGAAAAATCTTTGTTGCTTAGTCTGAGATATGAAAGCAGCAAGATTAAAAGAGAATAATTTAGACAGATGGGCATGTAGACAGAAAGCGTTCCCTCTCTATGTATCATATCATTGCCTACCAGAGAATATCACTTGAGAGGTTCCAGATGAGTCTGAGATAATATACCCCATCTTTCTCCTCAGATGCTCCAGTATTTACACTGGAGACCATGAACAAAGGAACCAAATGTCACAACCAAATGTTGCCGAATTAGGGGACTGACTCTCAATGAGTGAATTTCGTCCTTTCTGATCTCGCTATCGGGTATAAGCTTCCCGTGCAAGCTGGGCCCCTGGACTCACGGTGCNTCGGGTATAAGCTTCCCGTGCAAGCTGGGCCCCTGGACTCACGGTGCGTCTTCCCTGCGTCGCTTTCCCGCACTCCAGCCAGTGGGATCTGCCCTCCCCGGCGAAGCTACGTGCCTGGTCGCTGTCCTTCAGTGTCGCGTCTGGGAGGTACCATCCTCTGACATGACTTTCGCCCATCTCAGTCTTGATTTCCTGATCCCTGCAGCGGGAACCTCGAGCCCTAAGTTGGAAATTACTTCAGGAATTCAAGAAAATGTACATGAAGCATTTGGCCGGGGCTTGGCAAGTAGAGAGCAACCCAGGTCCTGTCCGTTTCTCAGCACAGCTCACAATCCCCCCAACTCGTAAGAACGAGCAAGAGGCAAGTGTGGTGTTGGCAGTCTGTTCAGAGCCTCCTGGATAGCTGGTCTCCAGGGCTGGTGGGTGCCCTGAAGCCTCCCAAGCTCCTCAGAAGCCTCCCGAGCACCTCAGAGGTCCCTCCGCTGCTCCCGGGAAGTGACCCAGGGCCTTCATCCGCCCTTCCCGTCAGAGCCTGGATCCAGCCTCACTTCGCTGAGCGCCGAGGCAGCATCGTGCATCAGGGTGAGACCAGAGGCGCCTGCCTTGCATCTGTCGGGACTCTGGTGAAGGCCCAGGCTCTTTTCTCTTTCTTCTTCCTCACGTGAGTCTCACCCCCACCCATCCCCAGAAGAGGCCCGTTGGTTTCCCTCCAGCGCTTCCCAGGTCCTTCCCCAGACGCCGGAGGTTGTTTGCTTCCCTTCCGCGCTTCCGAGGTCACAGATTACTGCAAGTCAACACACACGCCCAGCGCAGGGGCTCTCGGTCCGTGACGTCCCCCGTCCTTCCTTTTCTCGGTGCCCTGTAGATCCTGACGCCACGTCGCCTGCCAGTTGCGGAGCATGACGTGTTTGGCACAAAACTGCCCGAGTCCTCTGCACGGCCACCGCCCCCGCCCCCGTCCCCCCCGCGCCGAAGTCCTGAGGACCAGGAGGCCCAACCAGAATGGGCCCTCCACGACCTCGGAAGACGTGCGTGTGCAGACGCGGCCCTCGGGCGCGAGGCCCCCGCAGGCTCCCCTGTCTCTGAGCAGGAGGAGTGCATGTTGGGCAGGCTGGCGCCGACTTCCGCGAAAGGGTCCCCGTGTTCCCAAGAGCTCTAAAGGGCAAGGCCGCTGCCCTGACACTGGGCTGGAGGTCCCAGCGTAGTGGCACTCGGCTGTCTACCACTTTGTCGCAGATATCACCCGCATCTACAGGACAAGAGGACTTCCACGGGCCTCGAAGACACTCGGACCAGCATCTTGCTGGTGCTGTGGCCCAGGCTGTTGCCTAACTCGCCTGCTCGTGGGTATGTGAGCGCCCTTGAGCAAGGGCCGGAGACGCAGCCTGGCGCCTGAGTGCTTCCCTGTCCGCTCTGGGACAGAACGTCCCTAGATTCCCTCATCCTCAAATGGAGATAGGAATTTGTGGGGGCAGGCTAGGAGTCTCCCAAAGGATAATTAATGTATGTGGGCTGTGACCTGTACAGAAACCGTTAGGGCACGCATGCCGTACGGGGACACGGACAGCATATGGTATGCAGATCGGTACTGGGTTTATTAAGACACTCATGTGAGAGTCCCTGTGTCTAGGGAGACATGCAGAAGGGTCCCGACAGGAAAAAATCCGCATACAAGGACCATGAATGCACTGAGAAGGAAACCCTCCTTGCGCAGACATTAATAGTTGCAAAAGAGTACATTTCTATCAGGTGTGAGGGGGTTTATTTCTCCGAGGTCGTCAGGCAGGATGACGGTCTTGACTGTGGAGTCAAGGCAGAGATCTCGACTCCGTGTCCGGCTGTGTGACGCTGGCAGGGGACACCCAAGACCTGAGGAAGAAGAGAATCAGGAGAAGCGGCCCACACTTCCTCAAGCCGATTCCCAAGGTTTTTAAACAGGCAGATGAGTAGCAGAAATGTTGGCGACTGCATGCGCGCTTTCGGCAACGTTTGGCAGTGTCCGTTTTCCCGCTGGCCCGTCAGTGCCGTGTGCCGTTGTGGGTTCTTGGTGAGGCGGTTGTCAGTAGGAAGTCTGGCAGCAGCTGGACACGCAGCAGGGGTGGCCGCGGCCGCCGTGGGTATGTGGTGGTCCTCCAGCAGGCGTTATGGCAGCCGTGTGGCTGGCAAGCAGGCTAGCAGCAGCTGGATCCACAGCCCTGGGCGAGGCATCCAGGCAAGCAGCAGCAGGTGGGGGGGTAGCAGGTCCTCCTGCAGTACACAGGGGTACAGCAGGCTGGCTGACAGCAGCTGGAGCCACAGCACATTTGTCCGCAGCCGCTGGACCCACAGCAGCTGGGCTGACAGCAGCTGGACACACAGCAGCTGGGCCGGCAACAGGTGGTCCTGCAGCAGGTGGTCTGGCAGCACGTTGGGCGGCAGCAGCAAGGCTGGCAGCAGCAGGACCCACAGCAGCTGGACCCGCAGCCGCCTTGTCCACAGCCGCCGTCGCACCCGCAGCAGCTGGGCGGGCAGCAGGTGGTCCTGCAGCAGGTGGTCCTGCAGCACGTAGGCTGGCAGCAAGGGGAGCAGCACGATTCGGTCATGGTGTCACAGGTGGAGGGGGAGCTTCTGCTCAGAGGTGAGTTTCTCAGACTCTTTTGTCTCGTCCTCTTGTGGGGATTTTATGCACCGGGTCCCCAAATTTGGACCAATGGGCATGACTTCCTTGCCGTTGTTGACATCGTTTCCCTGATGATGCGGGAATTGAAGAAGAGGAAGTTTTTTTCCCCCTAATGTTATGAATCTTTAGCAAATAAGTGCTTAATGTGTGTCTTAATTGGGAATAACTCGTGGATACATTTCAGATGAAAAGTTTTTCGTATCAGTAGCACATTTCCTGCTTCAATATTTTATTATGTGATGCAGTTCCTCCTCTCCTGGTTGTAGTTCGAGGATTAGAGCTGTGTTTCCTCCCTTGCTTTTTTACTCTGACTGCTTCTACATTTTGTACATCCCTACAGTTAGGGTATTATGCTGTTTTTTAGAGGAATAGTTGAATTCATTCCTGAGTTCAAGTCTGTTTCCTTATGAGGCCTGGTTGCAATGTCTCACAGGCATCTTCTTCTCTTAGCGCTATATCCCACCTAGGTTTCTAAGTTCTGTTTAGGATTCTTGGATGGTGAATGTCTGGTATCATCTCTTCCATATGGCAGGTCATAATCAGTCAATGTTTAGAAGCAGAAGTATACAGGGACTAAGCATTAATCAGTTAATATGTTTCTTGTGGGAAGAGTAATCTTAATTTATCCTGAAATATGTGTTTTCCCTTGCTATGGGTCTTTTTTGATAGTAGGGGTATAGTTGGCAAACCAGGATGATTTGGTGACTTTAGACCTAACCTTGTTAATCAGCAGAGTATGTGACATCATGTCACTGACAGCACACTTATTGTTTAGTATTTGTTTTGTTTTGTATTTCTTTTTTATTTCCTTACATTTAACATGGGAATTGGATAGTTAAGGTGATACCTGATTTATGTTTTGGATCTATCATTTTAAAATATTTTAGGTATATCACTCATTTAAAAAGTGCCAATTATTTCCAACTTGATCAGTTATTACAAAATGAGTGCATCCATGTTAATATAACCATGATAAGGAATAGAAGTTAAATTAACTGTTTCCAAAGGTTCCTGATCACTCTGTTGATTTGTAACCTGTAGGTTAATTTGGCTTTTTAAAGCCTTCATATAAATTAAAGAATATAGAATTGGTTCTATTTATGCAATTATTAAGAGATCACTAGTAGAAATATTTGTTGTTTATTCATTGTCATTTCTGTTTAATTCTCTTCCTGAATGAGTAGAACACAGTTTATTTCTTGGCACTGCTCTTGATAAATAAGTAGGTATTTTGAAGCTTGAGACCTTTAAAATAGTGCTTCTGTGAATGTTGTTTTACAGGTTGTTTAGTAAACACACATTAAGATTTTTTGAACATACGTCTAGGAGTAGATTGCACACAGAGTTGCTTGGCGAAAATATTTATCTCATTTCTATCTCACGTTCAGGTCAACCCTTGGAATATTCTGGAAATTTTTCTTGTTTCCCTCCCATTATGGATGGGACAAGTTGAAGACAGGTACTTTCTCTAAGAGACCACAGTTGTCATATTTTTAACTTTTACCACAAAACACATTGAATACATTATACTTATTTTCAATAGAGATTAGTTTATTCTCCCTTTCTTCTTCTTGTGATGATCTGGTATTTTGTCTGTTTTGTTTAATTCTGTGTCCCTGATTCAACATATGCTTTACTTCAAATTTAGAAATTATAATCCTACTTTTTAAAAAATTTTTTAAATTTAAATTCAGTTAACCAAGGTATAGTACACCATTAGTTTTTGATACAATCTTTAATGATTCATTAATTGAGATATCTCCCAGTGCTTATCATATCACATGCCCTCTTTAATGCTCATCACCCAGTTCCCCCATCCCCCACCCACCTCCCTTTCCATATCCCTCAGTTTGTTTCCCAGAGTCAAAAGAGTCTCATATGGTTAATCTCCTTCTCTGATTTCTTCCCATTCAGTTTTATGCTAAGTGAAATAAGCATACAAGTTTTCATTCTTCCTCCCAAAGTTGAGAAAGGATAACAATATGTGAAAACAACAGTTATCCATATGTGGTTGACCATAAAATTCCCGGCCCCTCCCCCACCCTGTGGTCTTTTTGGTGCCATTATCAGTAAACAAGTACCGAGGTTTACCTCACTAGATAAGGAGACTTCTAGCAATGTAATGTTTTGCAATGGCCTACAAAACATGAACTTAAGGTTCTAGAACTGCCCTGGTAGACTACTGAGAATGGAGTCAGAAGATTCAGAGAAATGTACATGGTAGAATGAATTTATTTCTTGTCAGAGAGCCTGCAAACTGATCATATTCCCTGGGAGATCCCAAAGAACATTACTCACAAAAGCAGTAAAGCATGTACATCATTAAAAAGGACAGTGGTGGTAGTCCTCTGTGGCCAGGGTTGATGGTAAAATATGATAGAGAACTGGGAAATAGGGGATGGTAGGAAAACAGAGTCAAGGTAGATATAATTACCAAAATAGGAAGAAATGTCAACCAGTGGGCCTTAACTCACAAGATCTGACCAATAGACTATAGCTTCCTTAAGGCTGAGGTAATTGTGCACCCAAAAAATTTATTACTGTGGCACTGCCATAAACATTGGAAAAGATTCAAGAACAGTGAATCAGAGGCTGATGTCAGCCACTTAAATAGAAAATTATAACTTCCCATTCAGTTTCCTGACCTGAGTAAGTTCTCAAACATATAACCCTTCAAATAAGGGAGAGGTTTAGTCTCCTTGAGAAATATTCTGCAACAATGAAGTGTGTATGGGTGTGTGTACCATATTTTCCACAGAGGATTTTCAATCATATGCCATAGTAACTGTATACTAGGGAAAGGTGAAAACCCAGGTATTTCTAAAGGTGTTGGATGTAGAGGTTGTGCTGACAGATACCAGGAGTCCTTCTATTAGAGTGTGTGCATATAGAGGCCAAGTAATAAATGGAGTCCTGGTTCATGTCCCTCTCATGTGGGTCTAATTGGCATTAAGGTCTACTTTATACTCATTTCTGGCTACTTATGTAAGTAGTGAGTGGTAGAGCCCTTCCATTGTGTGTCAGTTGGGTCCTCTGGGAATCAGACACTGAAACAGTATTAAGAATGTAAGATGTTTACTGGGAAGTAATGCCAACGAAAGGCTTAAAGAAGGGGAAAAGGAGAGGGGTATTCGGCAGCAAAAACCTACAGATTGTGATGTAGGTGTGACATCCCCCCCCCTAAAAAAAAGTTTGAAATAAGCAGCATTAGGCAAGGAGAATATAAGCCTGCCATGCAGGTCTGACAAAACATTGGTCAACCCAATGGAGATATTCAGAGCAAAGATAGCCATTAATAAGTTCCCATGTTGGGAAGAAAATGCTAGGCCCTAGTACATTCATGGTGTGAAATTATGAGCCTGAGGTTTACATGAAGAACATGACCTTAGCTCTAAAGCTGATGCAGATCCTAAAGTTGCTAACACTTGGAACTCTTTGCAGTGGAAGTGCATCTCAAGACATGTGAGGTGAGAGCTGTAATAGAAACAAAGGTCAAATAAGAGCCCCTAAAATTTCCTGTCTCCTGACCAATATATTAACCAGAAATGATAGCCATCCATGGAGAACAGCAGTTTAGTGCTCCTTCAAAGACTGAAAGAATGCAGAGATGGTGGTTTCCAGCACAACTTTATTTGATTGCCAGGCTGGACTCTGCAAAAACCTAGTGGATCATGGTATATAATTATGAAATATCTTAAGCTTAAATCAATTGATAAACCTATTAGCAGCTATTTTTGCTACATTTTTGTACCTTCTGAGTTTAAAGGCTGTGGAAATAAGCAATACCCCCAATGAGCATAACCATGAGCCCTTTTGTAGAAAAAGTGGCCTATTCTGTCCTAAAGCAACAGACTACACATTCTGTAGTGTACACATGCAAAATTCTCCAAAATAGATCACATACTGGGTCACAAGTCAAGTCTCAATCAGTACCAAAATATTGGGTTTATTCCCTGCATATTTTCAGACTACAGTGTTTTGAAACTTGAACTCAATTACAGGAGGAAATTTGGAAGGAACTCAAATAATTGGAGGTTAAAGAGCATCCTAATAAAAAATGAATGGGTCAACCAGGAAATTAAAGAAAAACTTAAAAATTAATGGAAGCAAATGAAAATGAAAACACAATAGTTCTGAACCTTTGGGATGCACCAAAGGTAGTCCTAAGAGGGAAGTATATAGCAATACAGGCCTTTCTCAAGAAATAAGACAAGTCTCAAATATACAAGATAACCTTACACCTAAAGGAGCTGGGAAAAGAACAGCAAAAAAAAAAAAAAAAAAAAAAAGAAAAGAAAAAAACAAGCAAGCAAGCAAGCCTAAACCTTGCATAAGAAGATAAGTAAATAAGATTAGACAAGAAATGAATGAAATGGAAAATAAAAGAACAGTAGAACAGATCAACAAAAGTAGGAGCTGATTCTTTGAAAGAATTAATAAGATCAATAAAATCCTAGCCAGACTTATCAAAAAGAAAAGGACCAAATTAATAAAATCATGAATGAAAGAGGAGAGATCACAACCAACACCCAAGAAATGCGATTATAAGAACATATTCTGAGCAACTATATGCCGACAAATTAGACAATCTGGAAGAAATGGATGCATTCCCAGAGACATATAAACGACCAAAACTGAAACAGGAAGAAATAGAAAACTTGACCAGACCCATAATCAGCAAGAAAATTGAAGCAGTAATCAAAAAATTCCCAACAGACAAGAGTCTAGAACCGGATGGCCTCCCAGGGGAATTCTACCAAATACTTACAGAAGAATTAATACCTATTCTTCTGAAGCTGTTTCAAGAAAATAGAAATAGAAGGAAAACTTCCAAACTCATTGTATGAGGTGAGCATTAACTTAAACCCAACCAGACAATTACAGACCAATATCCCTGATGAACATGGATGCCAAAATTCTCAC